TAAAGCTATGGCCCCACACCTTGTAAGGCCACCCAAGAGAGACAGGTCATAGTGAACAGTTCTGACAAAATGTGGTCCACTGGAGGAGGAAATGGCAACCCACTCCAGTATTCTTGTCATGAGAACCTCATGAACAGTATGAAAAGGCAAAAAGATATGACACTGGAAGATAAGGCCCCCAGGCTGGAAGGTGTCCAATATGCTACTGGGAAGAGCAGAGGGCTCTTTACTAATTACTAATTTACTAATTACTGATAGTTCCAGAAGGAATGAAGCAGCTGCGCCAAAGTGGAAATGACACTCAGTCATGGATGTTTCTGGTGGTGAAAGTAAAGTCTGATGCTATAAAGAATGACTGCACAGGAACCTGGAAATGTTAGGTCCATGAATCAAGGTAAATTGGACATGGTCAAGAAGGAGATGGGAAGAATGAATGTTGACATCTTAGGAATCAGTGAACTAAAATAGACAAGAATGGGCAAATTTAATTCAGATGACCATTATATCTACTACTATGGGCAAGAATCCCTTAGAAGAAATGGAGTAGCCCTCATAGTCAACCAAAGAGTCTGAAAGGTAGCACTTGAGTGTAAACTCAAAAACAAGAGAATGATCCTGGTTTGTTTCCAAGGCAAATCATTCAACATCACAGTAATCCAAGTCTGTGCCCAATCACTGATGCCAAAGAAGTTGACCAGTTGACCTACAACACCTTCTAGCACTAACACCAAAAAAAGATGTCCTTTTCATCATAAGAGATTGGAATGCTAAAGTAGGAAGTCAAGAGATACCTGGAATAACAGGCAAGTTTGGCCTTGGAGTACAAAATGAAGCTGGGCAAAGGCTAACAGAGTTTTGTCAAAAGAACATGCTGGTCATAGGAAACACCCTTTTCGAACAATCCAAGAGATGACTCAGTCTCTGAAATCAGACTGATTATGTTCTTTGCAGCCAAAGATGGAGAAGCTCTATACAGTCAGTAAAAACAAGACCTGAAGCTAACTAGCTCAGATCATCAACTCCTTATCGCAAAATTCAGGTTTAAGTTGGAGAATGTAGGGAAAACCACTAGGCCATTCAGGTATGACCTAAAAAAAAAAAAAAAAATCCAATATGATTATACAGTGGAGGTAATGAATAAATTCAAGGGATTAGATCTGGTAGACAAACTGCCTGAAGAACTATGGATGGAGGCTTGTAACACTGAACAGGAGGCAGTGACCAAAACCATTCCAAGAAAAATAAATGCAAGAAGGCAAAGTGGTTGTCTGAGGAGGTTTTACACATAGCTGAGGAAAGAAGAGAAGTGAAAGGCAAGGGAAAAAGGGAAAGATACACCCAACTGAATGCAGAGTTGCAGAGAATAGCAAGGAGAGATAAGAAGGCCTTCTTAGGGAAAAAAATAGAAGGCCTTCTTAAATGAATAATGCAAAGAAACAGAGGAAAACAATAGAATGGGAAAGACTAGGGATCTCTTCAAGAAACCTGGAGACATCAAGGGAACATTCACCAAGGACAGGCATGATAAAGGACAGTAACAGAAGGATCTAACAGAAGCAGACAAGATTAAGAAGAGGTGGCAAGAACATACAGAAGAACTATACAAAATGGCCCAGATAATCATGATGGTGTGGTCACTCGCCTAGAGCTGGACACTTTGGAGTGTGAAGTCAAGTGGGCCTTCAGTATTACTATGAGAAAACCTGGTGAGGTGACAGAACTCCAGCTGAGCTATTTCAGATCCTAAAAGACGAAGTTGTTCAAGTGCTGCACTCAATATGTCAGCAAATTTGAGAAACTCAGCAGTGGCCACAGGACTGGAAAAGGTCACTTTTCATTCTAATCCCAAAGAAAGTCAATACAAAAGAATGTTCAAATTACTAAACAACTGTGCTCATTTCACATGCTAGCAAACTTATGCTTAGAATCTTTTAGGCTAGGCTTCAGCAGTATGTGGAAAGCTTTACAGCCTGAGCTACCAGGGAAGTCTCGAGGCTAGGCTTCAGCAATATGTGAACCGAGAACCTCCAGATATACAAGCTAGGTTCCAAAGAGGCAGAAGAACCAGAGATCAAACTGCCTGTATTTGTTGGATCATAGAGAAAGCAAGGGAATTCCAGAAAAACATCTACTTCTGCTTCATTGACTATTCTAAAGCCTTTGACTGTGTAGCCCACAACAAACTGTGGAAAATTCTTAAAAGAAATGGGAATATCAGAGCACCTTACTTGTCTCCTGAGAAACCTGTATACAGGTCAAGAAGCAACAGTTAAAGCCACACATGGAACAACAGACTGGTTCAAAAGTGGGAAAGGAGTATGTCAAGGCTGTATATTTTCACCATGTTTATTTAACTTATATGCAGAGTACATCAGAGAAATGCTGGGTTGGATGAATCACAAGATGGAATCAAGACTGCCAGGGGAAATATCAACAACCTCAGATATGAAGATGATACCACTCTAATTGGAGAAAGTGAAGAGGAACTAAACAACCTCTTGATGAGGGTGAAAAAGGGGAGTGAAAAAGCTGATTTGAAACTCAACATTTAAAAAACTAAGATCATGGAATGTGGTCCCATCACTTCATGGCAAATAGAAGGGAAAAAGTAGAAGCAGTGAGAGATTTATTTTCTTGGGCTCCAAAATCACTGCAGACTGTGACCACATCCATGAAATTAAAAAGATACTTGCTCCTTGGAAGGAAAGCTATGACAAACCTAGATAGCATATGTAAAAACCAGAGACATCACTTGGCTGACAAAGATCTGTATAGTCAAAGCTACGGTTTTTCTAGTAGTCATGTATGGATGTGAGAGTTGGGACCATAAAGAAGGCTGAGTGCTGAGGAACTGATGCTTCTGAATTATGATGCTGAAGAAGACTCTTGAGAGTCCTCTGGACTGCAAGATCAAACCAGTCAATCCTAAAGGAAATCAACCCTGAATACTCACTGGAAGGACTGATGCTGAAACTGAAGCTCCAATACTTCAGACACTTCATGTGAAGAGTCTACTTACTGGGAAAGACCTGATGCTGGAAAAGATAGTAAGCCAAAGGAAAAGTGGGTGGCAGAGAATGAGATGGTTAGGTAGCATCATCAACTCAATGGAAATGAATTTGAGCAAACTCTAGGAGAGAGCAGAGGACAGAAGAGCCTGGCATGCTGCAATCCATGGGGTTGCAAAGAGTTGGACATAACTTAGCAACTGAATAAGAACAACATCATACTGGAATATATATGTCATATACATTGGAATGTGTGTGTGTGTGTGTGTGTGTGTGTCGTCAATAAGCACAGAAGATTCTCAACACCACTGGCCATCAGGCAAATGCAAATCACACTCACTTCACACTCACTAGTATGGCTATGATAAAAGAAAATAAATGCTGGAGAGTATATGGAAAAATTGGAACCCTCATACATTGCATGTAAAGTGGTATAGCTGCTTGGAAAAAGTCTTTCATTCCTTGCAAAGTTAAACTTAGAGTTGCCATGTTACCCAGCAATTTCATTCATAGGTATATGCTCAAAAGAATTGAAAGCGTATGTCCATGCCAAAACATTCACACTGAATGGTCAACTGAAGTATTACTCATAATAACCAAGGAAGGGAAATAGCTAAAACGTTAACTGAAGAACAGATAAACGAAACAATATGCTCATACAATGAAACATTATTCACTCATAAAAAGAAATGAAGAACTGACTCATGCTATGAGAATGGATGAACCTTGAAAATATTGTGCTATGTGACAGAAGTCAGACAGAAAAAGGCACATACTGTGTGATTCCACTTATGTGAAATGTCAAGAACAGGCAAATCTATGGAGACAGAAAGTAAGCTAGTGATTGCTAGGACTTGCAGAGAGAAAGCAACAGGAAGTGACTGCTAATGGGTATGGGGATGCTTTGGGGGGTGATTGAAAATGTATAATAACGAAAACTAAGACAGCGGTAATGCCTGTACAATGGACTTCCCTGGTAGCTCAGCTGGTAAAGAATCTGTCTGCAATGCAGGAGACCCCGGTTTGATTCCTGGGTCAGGGAGATCCCCTGGAGAAGGGAATGGCTACCCAATCCAGTATTCTTGCCTGGAGAATTCCATGGAAGGAAGAGCCTGGCAGGCTATAGTACATGGGGTGGCGAAGAGTCAGACATCAGTGACTAACACTTTCACTACTTTCATACAAGTACTGAATCATTATCTTGTAAATTTGAAACAAATGTTAATTATAACTCAGTCAAGAAAAAGATTCAATTCCCAATGAACATACAAAAACAAAAATATACATATACTGGGAATTCCCTGGCAGTCCAGTGGTTAGGGCTCTGTGCTCTCACTGCTAATGGCACAGGTTCAATCCTTGGCAGAGGAACTAAGAGCCCTCAAGCCAAGTGGCATGACACCCCCTAAAAATACACACACCCACACACACACTTAATAGCTTCATAATATCTGAAGTAAAAATTAATAGTATTATGAGAAAAAGTTGATCATTTTTCATCATAGTGTGATATTTAAACAGTACTTAATTATTAATAGATTAAGTAGAAAAAAAAAAATCCAGCAAGAATATAGAAGATTCAAACAACATAATTAACAAGTGTTACTCAAGAGACATTCAGAGAGTCTGACAAACAACATTTAGAGAACCCACAATTTCCTAAGGACACATAGAACAATCAAATACCAGATCACCTCACAATATTTTACAGAAAAAGTATCAAAAGAAAAAGTGGCAATAAGTCAGAAGTTAATAAAAAGATTTGAAAAAACTAGAATTGAATGATAATGCAGTGGTTCTCACACTTTTGGTCTTAGAACCTTTTATACTCCCCCAAATTTGTGAGGAAGCTGAAAAGGTTTTGTTTATATGGGTTATATCTATTAATATTGATGAAAAAATAATTATATTTACAAAAAAATTAGTGAGCAGCAGTGAGTTTGTTTGCACAGAAGCTACCATGGTGCTTCCTGGTCTGGAGGTTTTACTCACCGTGTTGAAGTACTCGACTCCGGTGGCTTCAAATGCCCTGGCCACAGCTTGTGTTGTGGCCACGCAGGCTACAGGGTGGCCATTGCCTATGGACTTGCCCATGGTGACAATGTCGGGGACGAAGTCTTCCCCCTGCAGCTGGAAGGCCCAGAAGTGCTTGCCTACTCGGCCAAAGCCCACTTGAATCTCGTCTGCAACAAAGACCCCTCCGGCCCTGCGGATGTGCCTGTGGCAGAGGACACACGGCTGATGGGAGACTGTGGTGAGAGGGAGCAAACCAGGAGCTGAGATGTCCTGGGACTCTGAATCCTGGTGTTGCCAAAAATAAGGTCGGGTCCTGAGGCAGATATCTGGCCTTTTGGGAGCCACCATTTCTTCAGGGACTTTGACAACTGGCAATAGGCCAGGCTGAGGTTGGAATTTGGAAGCAAGGCTGGGAGACCCCACCCTCAGGCAGCCTCTCCCACCTACTCACCCTGCCACTTCTGGGAAGTAGCCAGCAGGGGGAATGATCTGCCCTCCCACACTGGGCAGGGATTCAGCAAAGAATGCTGCAATCTGTGGAGGAGAACGGAATGGCACTGTGGTGGGGCTGAGTGGCAAGCTGGTGCATCCTGCTGATGCTGGCTCAGTGCTGGCTCCAAACATGAGTTACTATTATCACCATGCCCCCACTTTGGGGTCCACATCGTATCTGAGTATCTACAATGTAGATTTTTCAGGCCTCAAATCAATTCTTACCACCTGGAGGTAAGACCCCCTGTACTTAGTGTGTTCCAGATGAAATTCACTGACTTCTCCCCCATAAACCTGTTCCTTCCCTCCCCCCATACGGTGAATCCCATTCCTCCTAATTAGGACAGAAATCTGGGCCCATCCTTGATCCAGGCTCCTTCTTCACCCATCAGCTGGCACAGCTTCTGACTCTTATCCCTGTAACATCTTTGTACCCTCCTTTCCGCTTCTGGGCAGATCTGCTAGTTTCTACTTTGCCCTCCTGCAGCTGCTTTCTAACTGAACATCTCTTCCAGTCCATCCTTCACTGGCCACCAGGGTAAAGCCTCAACCCAGACACTGAGCTCCTCAATGTCCTATTTAAAACCCATCACCAACCCTTTTGCTTACGACAACGACTTCCAAACTCTGCTCTGCCTTGGAGCCGTTTCAGAGACTACTGCTGGGATAAAGAAAGGACCAGTGGGGTGGGAAACTGGCTACCCACCCATGCTAACCTTCAGAGCAATCTCTTTTTTGATTTCATAGAAGGAGGTGCAGAGCATCTGAAATGCATAAGCCAAGTTTCCCAGCTCTGATTCTGCCAACCTTTTTGGCCTGTCTTTTCTGTATATCCTGTGTTCAGCTGCCACTCTTTCAGCAAGTCTTCTAGAGAGCCTTCACACCAGTTGCTAGCTGCCTCCCTTCAACTGTTGCTGTAGCTGCTGCTCTTCAGGGTAAGGCAATCTCTTGTCTCCCCACTGCTCAGGCCATCAGGTCTTTGCACAGCACCATGTCAGACTGACACCATTCAAGAGCATCCCCTGGGCCCATTACCGTCTCTCTTAAAACTCTGTAAAGGTACCTCATAGGCTCCAGTCCCTCAGCTAGAAGGGCACTTGCAGTCCTCTGACCTATGGTCCCACCTGCCTCTCTAGGTTTATCTTCTGCCTGCACAGCCTGACCCTGCAGTCACATGGTTTCTGCACAGGCCACTGGTCTGTTGAAGATATCTTTCCTTGTCTACCTCCTACCCTGCCTTGAGTGGCTAATGCCTACTTACCTTCTATTACTAAAATTAGTCAGTACCCGCTTGTCCCCTGACAGGCCCACCTTCACACCCACATCAGTCCAGCCTGGACCCCTGGACCCCAGTAGTGTCCAGGATATATCTCTACCTAAACTCTCAGTTCAACAATTAACCCCTCTCCTAGATTCCCAAAGGGCAGGCCCTGGTTCCAATTTCTCTCAGGGTTCCCAAGATCCAGTCCAGGGCAAGCAACATTTGGGGCTTGCTGGACCAGACCTGCATGGATGTGGTTACCTTCCTGCCTTTCTCCTGTGCGCTGCTGACCACTCGTTTCACCTCACTGGCATAGGCCACAGCTGGATTGGGGTGGTCTTCCCGGTAGGGGCCCCGGTAGGTATCTGGGAGAGGTGCCTGTGGGGAGTGACAGCGCCATGTCATCCAGGCTGGGGTGCAAGCACCGACCCGTCGCCCACGTGAGCAGCGCATACCACATGGACCCACTCCTTCTGGCCATCCAGGTCCCGGAACTTGTAGGGGCTGATGTCGATCAGGGAGCTCAGATGACCGTGATAAGCACTGGGGAGGAGAAAGGAGAGAGGACTTAGGCTTTTACTTCCTGGCCTGGCCTTGACAACTGTCCATCCATCTCAGGAAACAGTCAGGCAAGACCAAGCTTTCTGACACAGCCCCCAAGTCCTGGGGCCAGGAATGAACACAGGTCTTAGAGTCAGCAAGCCTTCCTGCAAGGCCACTATTTAGCTATGTAACAGTAGCTAACTGTTAAAATCTTTGGGTTCAGTCCTCTCCTCTGTAAAGTTGGGGCAGGGTGCTCTTTCTCTCTTGTGGTTGTGATTTTAAATGTGATAATGCTCTAACCCTGGGCCTGGGTCCTGCACATAGCAGATACTCAATACACTGGGAGTTACAGTTTTAATACCTAAAATGTGGGACCAACTCTCACCACCTTATAAAGCATTCTCTGCTCCCCAGAAGCTGCCATTATGGAAGAGATGCCGGGGTGAAAAGACACTGGGTATCCACATGGGGACTGTCTTTGTGGCCAGGTCCTCATGATCCTCTCCAGATGAGGCCTCTCATCTTTCCTGCCCAAGGCACCTAAAGTCAGAGCCTCACTGATTCCCAATAAGCAGCAGGCCCACGCTCCTGGAAATGGCACTTACTGATCTAATACCACCACATCCCAGTGTCCCGTGTACTGGCGTGCCAGCCTCAGGGCCAGGTCGTTGGCTTCTGACCTGTGACAGAAAAGGTGGGTGCTTCTTGAACAGCTGTCCAGGGCTTTCCCTCCTGGATAACTGCTTTCTACAGAGAAACCTGGAGGGGAAAGGAGGAACCCTCCTAGCAGCAAGAAGATTCTTAGGACACCATTCGTTAGTCATTCACTTATTCATTCAATAAATAGCTATCAATGCCTTCTATGTGCTAGGAGCTGGGGGCAAAAAAAGTAAGACAGGCAGGCCCTGGCCCTCTTGGAACTTACGTTCTAGTATGTGTCACAAAAGCCCGAAAACGAAGACAACATGATCGTTTGGTAAGTGCTACAATGGACCCAGGGCGTCAAGAACTAGAAGGGGCTCTACCTTTGATAAGGGGTGTTAGGGGCTTGAATCATGTCCCCCAAAATTCATGTGTTGAAGCCCTAACTCCTAATATCTCAGAATGTGATCATATTTGGAGACAGGGCCTTTCCAGAGGTGATTAACTTAATATGAGGCCATCTGTGTGGCCCTAAACCAATATGACTGGTGTCTTTATAAGAAGACATTTGGACATACAGAGAGACAAGGATTGTGCATGATTGGAAAAAGGCCATGTGAAGACAGTGAGAAGGTTGCCAGCTGAAATCAAGGTGAGAGGCCTCAAAGAAACCAAACCTGCCAGCACCTTGATCTTGGATTATGACTTCCAGAACTATGAGACAATACATTTCTGTTTAAGCCACCTTGTACACAGTGTTTTCACTATGGCAGCCAGAGCTGACTAAGGCCATACCTGTAGAGTCTTGAGGATAAAGTTCCTATGCAGAGTGAGCAGCACACACAGACCTTGTGAAGGAAAAGAGCTCAGGAAACCACAAGACGACAAAGAAGGCCAGGAGAAACCTGAGCGAGGAAGTGGGGAAGACAGGTAGGGCTGCAGAAGGGGCCTGGATTTTCTTCTCAGTGCCAGAGGAAGCCACTGTAAAGTTTTAATCAGAGAAGGGACATGATTCAGCACCCATATGAGGAGGAAACCTCTCTGTGTATCTAATGGAGTAGAAAGCAACTAAGGTGCAAGTGAGGAGAACTAGAAGGACACAAAGATGAGAGCAGGTGGTGGCCATGTAGATGGAGAGAGACAGATGGAGTTAGGAGACAACATGGAGACAGATGTGATAGGCTTAATGCAGGACTGGAAGGAGGGTGCGTTTCTAACTTGAGCAGAGGTGCACATGCCACTGTCATTTGCCAGGAGAGATAGGGTGGTGGCGGTAGTGGTGGTGAGGGACAGCCGGTCGTCTTGGGAAGGTCTGGGGAGGCTGCCTGAGAATGTCGGGAAGAGCCAATGCCACGGTCCCACGCCAGGTCTTAGTGAAGTAGATCAGCTCTTGTCTCTTTTGGACAGGTGATGTTAGACACGTTCCAAAGTCAAGTGGGTGGTTAGAACCTTGAGGCAGAAACACATGGGGACATCTGGGTCTAAGATACAAATGTGGGAGTCAGCAGCATGTGGACAATATATAATACACGGGAATGGATGAGGTCAGGAAGGGAGAGGGGCTCAGAGAAGACCAGTCCTGAGGAATGGAAGGGGAGGAATCGGCAAAGGAGACAGGAGTGGCCAGAAGTTGGCAGAAAACCAGAAGCGTGAAATGCTCTGGAAGCAAGACCAGAAAGCATTTCCAGAGAGTGGTAACTATCAGTATTACTGAGAGACACAGGAAGACAAAGGCAGCAAAGAGACCAGGTCTCCCCACTCCTATGCCTCATTATTCTCTGTACTTTTCTCTCCAGGGCACACTGGGTAGGTTCTATGTACATGCCTTCACCTGCCATTTTGGCCGCCACCGCTACTCCCAGCGTAGCATCTTCTGTCACCCAGTCACTGAACTGGTGCCTAATGGTGTCCATTCTTGCGCTCCTCCAGCCCTGGTGACATCACTTACCTGATTAAAGCCCTCTGATGGCTTTCCGATGCTCTGAGGATAAACAAGTACCTTACCTGACTAAAGAAACCCTGAGTGATGGGCCCTGCCTCCCTCCCCAGTGTCTCCGTCCACCCTCTGCCCTCCCTCAATGGCTGCCTTTCAGTTCAACTGTGCTGGGGTGCAAATACTCGTCCTGCCACAGGGCCTTTGCACAGGCTGTTCTGTGTGGTAACCAACCTTGACAATACTGCAAATGGAGCTGGCAGCAACCTTTCTTCCTCCTCATCCAGCTAGCCCCCAGTCAACGCTTAGCCTAACATCACTTCTTCAGGGAAGTCTTCCCCAACCCTCTCAGAGGAGGCCAGGCCCCCCAACTGCTTCTATGCCTCACAATTCTCTGTATTTTTCCTCTAGATCAAGACTCCTCTTTGGCATTTTGTATTTCTTTGAAGAACCTTGGATGTTTCTGTTTCTTATGGCTCTTATGGAGCCGATTTTGGCTGCAGCTCCCAGCACCATGCCCCTATATTCTTAGAGCAGACAAAGGAACATATTACCTTGGTAAGCCCCAACAATAATCCTAGAAGGGAGGTAACGACACCCCTTACAAAGAGAACAGGAAACTGGATCTGACAGAGAAGAAGCAGGGCCTGCGGCTGGGAAGTGTGAGTGCCCAACACACTGAGGGCTGCCTCTCCCCCAACTCAGTCAGTTACACTATGTTTTGCCCATGTGAGCAAATCACTGCCTCATCCTTTTGCTGGGGGCTGGCCATACGATAGTGCACTTACCCAGAATTCAGGAAATAAAACACACAGAGCTTCTCTGGCAGGGTCTTTGACAGCCTCTGTGCGTAATCCACAATGTTGTCGTGCAGGTATCGGCTGTTGGTGTTGAGCACCTGGTTCTGTTCGTGTGCTGCTTGGACCACGAGAGGGTGGCAGTGCCCAACTGCAAGAGGGCCACCTCTATCATAAGGCTGGCTCCGCGCAGCCAATCCCTCCAGGCCACCCCCAGCCCCAATCTGTAAACCCAACTAGAGGAGATGCAGTTATGGAGGGAGAGGTACAGAGGAAAGAGGGGAGTCTGAAGACAGAGGTGCCAGTCTGGAAAGGAAGCCCTAGAAAGGAGTCCCTGAGATTCTGGCAGGAGGCAAAGTTCTCTGGCAGAAACCTGATCTAGAAAACCCATGTTCTTAAGGAAGCTTCTTGAGGCCTTCTTCTTGACAAAGATGGGGGGGTGGGATTTCGGGGATGAAGATGGCATCGGAGTGTCTGCTTGACTTTACCAGTTAGGGAGGCTGGAGGTAATGATTGCCAACAGCCAAGGCTTATAACCAGAGAATGAAGATTACTGGCAGCTCACCAAGTGTCAGGCACACTCAAAGCAAGTTACATGAATTAACTCAATCCCTCCAAATATCTGGAAGTGTGTATCTAGGATCATCATGTCCATTCTGCAAATGTGCAAACCGAACAGAGACTGAAGCTTGCCCAAGACCACAAAGGGAGTAAGTGGAGGACAGGGATATGAACACAGGAAGCCTGGAACCAAAGCCTCTGCTTTCAGCTCTACTAACTTCCAATTTCCCTACTGGGTCACTGGACTCCCTTTCCTTCCACGAGCTCTGGTGGCCTCATCTAGTTAACTGGATTCCTACTTAAGTTTCCTAGTCCAGGACCTGAAATGGTAACCAGGGCTAAAGCCTTGCTGTGACTGCCAGGGCCTGGCCAGGGTCCTGTTGGGTTGCTGATCATGGCTAGGCTGATTGCTGTTCTCTGAGCTCACCATCAGTTCCAAGTGGAACTGAACTGCTAGACTCAGGCCTTTGACTCCTGCTGGTTTAGGACAGCTTTAGTGGTGTTAAGTCACTCAGTCATGTCTTACTCTTTGTGACCCCATGGACTGTGGCCCACCAGGCCCCTCCATCCGTGGGATTTCCCAGGCAAGGATACTGGAGTAGGTTGCTATTTCCTCTTTCAGGGGATCCTCCCAACCCAGGGATTGAACCCGGTCTCCTGCACTGCAGACATTTTACCATCTGAGCCACCAGGGAAGCATTTTAGCACAGCGAGTGTTTGGATGTTTCCACAGTTTCCATAGAAACACTGGGCTTCCTTTGCACATGGATGCTGGCTAAGTTGAACCTGAGTTCCCTGCGCCTGTCTGCAACCTGAAGATTACCCCTGAACTAGGTTCTGTCTTGGCATCCTCTCCTGCCCCATCTTGAAGTATGATACTGACCGTGAGCCACATTGTTGATGCAATCGATGTATTCTGCCCCCTGTTCATCATACATGTACTGCCCTTGGCCCCGGACAATCTTAATAGGATCCTCAGGAAAAAAGAGTCTGCAGGAACTGCTGTAGGGACAGGCAACAAATGGACAGCCATGTCTGAAGATCTGAAGGAAGAAATCCACCCATCACAGGCCTCCCCCAACATCTTCCCAGTTTCTGGAAAGGACAAAAGCTTGAAGGGCAAGGTGCTGTGTCCCTGCCTCCAGTTTCCCCACTCCACAGGGGGCTGGAAAGGTGAAGGATGGGTTAAGAAGTTGCTAAAACTTAAACTGTTTAAGTCATTTGAAGACTATGTGGCTTCATACATATCTGAATGAATGTGCCCAGAGTTCCTTGGGTTCTGGAAAAAGGGGGCTGCTCCAGACCCACGGGCTCCCTAGGGCAGTGTCTCTTTGCTGGGAGTGTGAAGAGGGCTGACTCTCGGCCCTAGTGGTCCTAGCTTGCAGGCCCAAGCTCTAGCCCAAGGCTGCCTCACACTCCACGTCCCACCAAGAGCCCCTCAGACACAGGTCAAGGTAGACTTTCTCTAAGGCTGCCTGTGAGCCGACTTCCCCACCCCCACCTTTCGTCTGGACTTTCAATCCCTTCCTGGGTTACTGTCTGGCCTGCCCCAGGTCCGGAGAGCGGGCCACCACTGGGCGAGGTCTTCCCAGGCGCCCGGCTGCAGCTGCGGGGGAGGCGCAGGAAGCGACCGCCTGCCACAGGCTGAACGCCGCAGGGTCTCAGGAGCCGTAGGCTCGGGAGCTGGACGAGGCCGGGCGGAGGGGAGCCCTGTAGGCTCCGCGCCGGACGTGCGTACGTCTTACGCGCCGCCCCCACGTCGCTGTCTCTGTACCTGAGCAGCCGCCGCCTCAGGGCCAGAGTCGCGGCCTTCCCACGCTGATCCGCCGCCATAGCGCTCGCGGGCCGTCGCTGGGGGACGCCGGGCGGAGCGTCCGGGCTCCGCCCAAAGCCACGCCCAACAGCGGCCCCGCCCATCGCAAAGAGCGACTCAGGGCTCCTGTTTGCCCCGCGGCCCCGCCCCCAGGCGGTCTATTAGGCGTTTGTTCCTTAATTAATTTGGCTAGAGTCTGGTGGGCTCCTCACCCCAGCGAAGTTCCATAGACAGTCACGAGCGGAAGCCGGGTTTGTGCTCGCCTTGCCTAGTGCTGCCCCAGCTCTGGTTTCCGGACAAATCTCCAAATCACTGACCTCGCGCTCCCGACCGCTGTGGTTTCCTTCCTCGGGAAGTGTACCCTGGTGATCCCGCCGCTGCGCCTGCACCCGAGGGGGCTCTGCGCTTCGAGAGGCCTCACCTGGGGCCTCAGGCTCAGTCCTTGAGTTGCCTTCCCTCCCCGAGCATAAAATGGGATGCGCCATAAGCTTGCCCTGGGAACGTGTGACAGGCACCCGGCCTGGTTCGGGTCTCAAGGCAGGCGAAGTCCAGGAGCAGCGGAAAGGGCGCCACTGCACAGCCCTGTGAAGAAGCAGCAGAAAGGGCAGAAGGAGAGCACAGGGCCACTTGTTGGGGCTGGCCGCGGAGGTCCTGGGTGTGACCTCTGGGACTCCTGCTGGAATCCAGGCAGGGTGAACCCGAGCTATAGAACCACTATGAGAATCTTACAGTGTTTAGGTGGAAGGAGAGGTAGGAGGCCTCCTGAGCCTTATCCACGGCCAGGAGACGCAGGCTCAGACAGGGAAACGGCTGTTCTTAAACACATAGCAAGAGTGAAGCGGAGGCTGGACTCCCAACTCCAGGGAGTGACAGGAGAACGCCCCTAAGGTACTGGAAAGCAGGATACGGAGAGATATCCCCTCCGGGAACTTTCTGCCCTGGTGAAGCCTAGAACCAGGGCAGGAGGCTGCAGCCTGAGCTGGGTGGCCTGAGCAGGCTGGAGAAAGAGGAGGCTCCTGCTGTCCTTCTTGTCACCTCTTCACGAGTCTCAGCCTTCTGCTTCACCCCCTCATCACCCCCTCATTGCTGATTTCTTCATTTCTTCTCCAAGACTTAAGGCCTTTTTTTTTTTTTTTGGCTGCACTGTGCAGCTTGTGGGATCTTAGTTCCCCAACCAGAGATTGAACTTGGGTCCCGGCAGTGAAGTGCTGAGTCCTAACCAGTGGACTGCCAAGGAATTCCTACTTAAGGTGTTTATTAAAGAATATTTGGAGTTTCATTATTGTGGTAACATATACACAACAAAATTTACCATTTTAACATTTAAAAAATATTTTATTTTTGGCTATGTTGGGTCTTAGTTGCAGCACACAGGCTCTCTAGTTGAGGCGTGAGGGCTTAATTGCCCTGTGGCATGCAGGATCTTAGTTCCCCCACCAGGGATCGAACCCGCATCTCTTGTGGTGGAAGGTAGATTCTAACCATTGGGCCACCAGGGAAGTCCCCATTTTAACATTTTTAAGTGTACAAGTTCAATGGCATTAATGGCATACACTCAGGTGCGTTCATCACCACCATCCATCTCCAGAACTTTTTCATCTTCACACACAGAATGAAGTTTCTTAATTTTAAATGTAAAGCTGAATTAAACTTTAGGTATGATTCTTGAAAAAAATTCCTCCCAAATTAACCAAGGAAGTTTGCTTATGGCCTGTACTTTTTTTCTGAGGGCCAAGCGCCCCCCCACCCCCAACCCGCCGCATATGAAATGTGGTCACTGGTTTTCTCAATGGATCTGATCCTCTTCTTTGGTAGAGAGACCCATAGATGTCTGTACATCGTGCAATTCCAGCTTTGTATATGTAATGTGTATGCTTGTGGGCTTCCCAGGTGGTGCTAGTGGTAAAGAACCCACCTGCTGATACAGGAGACATAAAAGAAGTGGGTTTGATCCCTGGGTCGGGAAGATTTCCCTGGAAGAGGGCATGAGAACCTACTCCAGTATTCTTCCCTGGAGAATCCCATGGATAGAGGAGCCTGTGGGCTATAGTCCATGGGGTCACAGAGACATGACTGAAGCGACTTAGCAGGTAGGCAGGAGTATGCTAGTGTGTATGTGTTTGTGTGGCAGAGGGAGTCTGAGAGTCTTGTGAGGGGCTATCTTTGGCCCTGTCTTGAGCCCAAACATAAGCCTGTCTTGTGACTCAGGACAGCTCAGAGAAGTCAGGTTATCACAGGAACTTTTCCAGCTTTGAGGAAGAGGGTGAGAAGGCCACAATCAGGCCCAGCTCACATCTCACCCACTCCTGGGATGTCCAGAATCAGGAGGGTGGAAGTCAGACCAGGACTGGCCATTTCCTGGGCTGAAAGTATCTACAAGAGGGGCAGGACAACACCAGGAAGCCTCCCCCTTCCTGCTCAGAAAAGCCCACTCTTCTTCCTCTGGCCCCATGCTAAGCACTCCTGTGCCCATTCTCTCATGTCCGACCTTTGAGGCCAGTGGGGCAGGGGAAGAGAGGAATAGCTGAGTCAAGATTTGAAGCTAGGGCATGTGTTTCTCAACACAGGTAGCATTGGCATTCTCACTGAGATGGTTCATCAATGGGCAGGACTGTCCCTTGCATTTCAGATGTTTGATGTGCCTGGCCCTACCCAGTAATGCCAGGAGTGTCCCCCAATCGTGGTAACCAAAAGCAAACCATGCATTTCTGGTAGTATTCCAGGGATCAGGAGGACGGAGACTGGGGTAAGCCCATTCCTCTCTGGCCTCAGCTTCATCTGCAAAAGGGGGAAGTCATTTTTGTGACTAGTTTATATGCTATGGCACACAGTGGGGCTCCAAAAATGTGTTCTTTTGCTTCTGGAAGGGGTAGTTGGAGGCACAGCTGCCCTTCTTGGCAGGGGAACATGAGGTCCCCAGTCCTGAAGCCTCAGTTTTAAGGCAGCGTGCTCCTCGTGTCTCTGCTGGGACCGCAGCAAGTCAATCACTCTTGTATAGTCTGTTGCCCCTACCCCAAGGTCTTGGAGGACTCTGCAGCCTCTCAATTTGGAAGTTTGCAAAACCTGAGAATATACAGCACAAGGCCAGAAGAGGGCAGCAATGGACCATGAATGGCCCTGTCCTGCCCAAAAGAGCAGGAAAGACCCCCCCCTCCCCGTCCCTCCCCCCCTCCCCGCCACCGCCCAGGTATCTGGGGAAGGGGGAACATGTGGCTTCTACTCTCATGAGGTTCTGCCCACCCAGCATCATGGTGCTTCCCATAGACTCCATGCTCTGCCAAACAATTTGGAAAGACAAACTGAAAGACATCCAAGAACCTCGGTTTGATGCCCCAAGCCTGCTACCGCATCCTGACTATGCATCCCTGGGTAGGGGACTAACTCCTTGGAACCCCACTTTCCCCACGTGTAAGGCAGAAATAGTGATACCAACCACATATGCCCTTTACAGGTTGGTGAGGGGATCCAGTGAGTTACCTGGGTGGTGTGCTATACTGTGTTTAATCACTTAGTCTTGTCCAACTCTTTGTGACCCCATGGACTGTAGACAGCCAGGCTCCTCCGTCCATGGGAATTCTCCAGGGAAGAACACTGGAGTGGGTTGCCATACTCTCCTCCAGGGGATCTTCTCAACCCAGGGATTGAATCCAGGTCTCTCGCATTGCAGGCAGATTTTTTACCGTCTGAGCCTCCAGGGAAGCCCAAGAATACTGGAGGGATGACTGATAAGATCTGTGCATTGATGCTGGAGCTCCAAAGGACACCTGGATGTCCAATGGTCTCCGTCAGTCATCACAGCCCCTCTGTGTTTTCCTTCATTTTCATGTTACTGACTTCCCTGGTGACCCACACGACTGGCTGAGCAGCATGGCCTGCCATTTATTCCCAGAAACTGAGGGAAACGGGCAGAGATTTGACTTATTCCTTCTCCTCAGCCAGCATGTGGTTGGACCTGTTTTTTTATTTTTTAGTTAGGAGGCCACATGGTGGGGCCTGGGGTACTGCTCATACCACGGCCTCCTTAGGGCTCAGTTCTTGGAGGGAGAAGGCTGGGATACCATCATGGCAGGCCCCGTCATGTGCCTGGTTTTGCCACCTGAGAAATGGGCACACTTGCTGGACCCCTCTCTCAGGATTAAGGACCAACTGGGATGTAGAATTTTCTAAGATGGCTGAAACAAGATCCCCTATCCCACATTTTCTCTTTAAAATATGACATCGACAGTTTTCCCTTGAATTAGGGTGAACCTTTGATTCTGGCAAGAAGTAATACCCTATGACTTCTGAGGCTTGGTTGCAAAAGGTAACACAGACTCCATCTGGCTAACCTGGGACATTCACCTTGGGAATAACAGCCTTATGGTGAGGAAGCCCAGAACACACAGAGGTGTGAGGCCAGCCAACATCAACTACTGGATGTGGGAAAGCTTGAGTGACAGCTGCTGAATTGAGCCCATTACTCCCAGAACTATAAGACGGAAATAGAAAGAATCTTTTTTTTTTTTTTGGTTTGTTTGTTTGTTTTTGGCCATGCTGCATGACTTACGGGATCTTAGATCCCCAACCAGGAATTGAACCCAGGCCCCAGCAGTGAAAGTGCCAAGTCCTCACCACTGGACCACCAGGGAATTTCCGAGGATCATTATTTTAAGGCAACAGATTTTGGGGTGATTTGTTATGCAGTAGTCATGGCTCATCAGATCAGAGAACACACAGGAGCTCAGTGACATGGGTGACTGGACAGAGGGCTCAGCTGGTATGTTAGCAGGGCTAGGCCTTGAGTCTGTGTCTTCCTAACTCCAAATCCCATTTTTGCCTTGAGCCTGAAATACTTATTCTGGTTTCTGGAGGTGGCTCTGGCCCAGGGAGAGTTCTCTTATCCCTCCCCACACAGCAAAGACCAAGCTGAAACCTCACCTAGGGATGGCACTAGGGGCAGTCTGCAAGGACAGACATACCCAGACACACATTTGTGATTTATTACACACAACAATATCCATCTACACAGAGAGGGGAGGCAACTAGTTGGTCTGGAGCTGGTGGCCGGGGCCCCTTGTCAGAGGAGGGAACCTCTTCTCAGAGCATCCTCGGTTGAGGGCATAGGTCGCCTACTCAGACAGGCGTGGAAGCAGCCCTGAGGCTCTTTTCATTTGCATAGCTCACTCAGAGGACCCATTTTTGGCAGACTGACCAGAAATCCCCTGGGTGGGGAGCCTTGGGGTCATTGAGACCCAAACTCTGGGCTGGCGGTCCATCTGCTCAGGCTGGCAGTCCCATCATGTCCCTCATGTGGTGGGGGTGTGGTGAAAAACAGGAAACAGCAGACATTCCAGCTTGGGACCTCCGCCTTCGAGGATCACAGGGCTCCCTGCTGCCGGGTCCACGTGGTGGTGATCACAGAGCCTGGCCTTCACTCCTGGCCAGAGGACACCTGTTCTCACAGCAGGCAGGCTGGTTCCTGAGGCCTGTGGCACTCAATGGGAGCTCAGCCCGCTTAGGTTGCTTCCCACAGCTCCAGCTATGGGTGCTGGGTGGGAGTCCTGCCCTGGTGAAGCCAGGGCCCAAGGGGGCCCAGAATGGTGGGCAGCTGGCTGTGGCTGAGTGCAGAGGCCAGAGAGGCCAAGATCAGTTGTGTCTGCTATTCATGCCACGAGCCTTTGTAGATGGCATGGCTCCGAGGCTCCAGAGCTTCAGAGGGCAGGCTGTTGCAGGGCAGCGGAACAGCCGGAGTCTCTGCTCTCAGTCTCTGCTTTCGGTTGAAAGCCTAACCTGGCCTCTCTGCAGCCTCTCCTGAGCCAGGCAATTTACCTTCATCTCCTTCCTGGGAAAGTCAAGCCCCGAGGGAGCCCCGGAAGTACACAGTGCCCCCAGGAGGCCTGTCCGCTTTCCTGCCAGCTTCACACACTGATTGTCCTGGGGCTGGGCTAGGCACACTCTCCGATGTTAAAAGGCCACAGGTATCGGTGATGCATCCCGTGAAAAAAGATCAATATATTACTGTTTTGTTTTTACAAAAATTAAAAATGTCCATATGGATCTATACAGGTTGTAAACTGCGTGCTCAGGATCACTAGAAATGGAGAGAAAGACTAAAGGTGAGGAGGGAACTGAGGGGCCCCAGAAGCCCTGCCTCTGATCTGGGTATTCCTGTCCTGCCTATTTCCTTGGGAAGAGGTATGGCCCCCCAATCCTCTCATCCCAACCTCCTGAATTCCACCCTCTCTTGGGGCGGGGGAGGACAGTATGGACAAAGTCCCAGGGGCTGATGGCTTTGCCCTGGCTGGGCCAGGGCTTGAGTGAGCCCTGTATGACCAAGAGGGTGGTTTGCTCACCACCAGGATCACAACCCCGGGCCTTGGGCCACACGATGGAAGAGTCAAATCCAGGGTCACTCAGGGAGACCTGGCTGTTCCCTCACGATGTAGCGAGGATGTAGGGAGCGGCAGGCACACAGCCCCAGGGTTCCCTTGGCTCCCCCACTCCTCCTAGCTTGCCCTGGAGACTCTTCCCTGAAAGTTACCTTATGCCAGCAGCCAGGCACAGGCAGTCCATCGGGGCCCTGGAAAGGAAGGTTTCAGTGACAAGGAGGCAGGGCTGGTCAGCAGCAACCTGTGCTCCACATACTCCTGCCCCAGGAGGAGCTAGCTGCAGCCCAGGGAGCTGAGGCCACTGGACCCCACTGAGGCAGGGCCTGAATGCCTGCCCCGTCCACCCGGGTAGTCAGGTCATGGGACATGATAGCCCCCCTCTGTGCTTGTTCTAAGCATGCCCCCATGGACTTTGCTGGGACACGAGTAGCTGTGGGCGGAACCAGGACACCACAGAGTTAGGGCATCGTGCTAGACATCCCCAGGCTAGAAGCAGGCCTGGCCCTGGTCCCACCGAACACCTGTGTGTCTTTCTGTCTGGCAGCTGTGATGGTGGTTCTGGCAGCTCACCCTGTGGTCCTGAGAGCTTTCAGACATGTGTCCAAGAATATCTGAAGGACAGTCCAGGAAATGGGATTGCCTTTTGGCCTGTCCTGGTCCCTGTGTTTGGATCTGAGTAGCAGACAGGATGGGCTGAGGTCAGGGTGGATACTGGGCTAGGGTGGGGAGGTGTGGGTGTGTGTGTGGGGGTGGTTGGAGTGGGCATAGTCTGGAGGCATCAGACACAAGCAGGTGGCCTGGAGGTGGAGAGCTGGTGATGGACCAAGTCTGACCCGTCAGTCAGCCTAGCATCCCTGGGGGACACCATAGCGGACAAGACTTCACCCTATTCTGAAGCACAGAGGCAGACCATGGACACGGGGGAGCATGCCCCCCCACCCCCACCCCAGCACTCTCATGCATCCCTGCGGGCTGAGGCTGGGACCCAAGGGGAAGTGGGGAGGAGGGACAGAATGGAAAGGAAGGCAGGGCAAGGCAGCGGGCACAGGCAGCGCAGAAGGCCCAGCACAGCAGAACACACAGCACACAGCAGGCCAGGCTGCATACCGCAGGGCAGCCTCCACCGCCCCTGGCCAGGCCCCTGGAACCTGGCGCCCCTCGCCTGCCTCGGCATTTAAGATTCTCCTGTTTCAGAGACAAAGGCTTAATGACTTGGAGGGAAGTCTTGAGCCAGGGTCTGGGGCTTGGGGCCGGGCCGCCCTGTTCCCCTGCTGTCCCTGATCCTTTTAGTGTGTGCTTGCCTCCCCCCCGCTCTTCCTGTTTTTTCCCATTGCCTCCTCCAAGCCATCTGGAGGTAGGGATTAGAACTCGTGTTGCAAGGATAAGGAGACTAAGGAACAGAGGGCTAACTGACCCATTTGAGGTCAGAAGATTGGACTTTGGGGGTCCCTGGCCCTGCCCCTCTGGAAAGGGCTACACAACATGGCTCCTCCCCCCTCCCCACAACCCCGGCAGAGATGGGGGGATGTGAGTAACTGGTGAGTTTCAATATGGAAACTCAGTTGTTTTTCTTGTCTTTTCTGAGTTCCACTGGAAGAGTTTGACATGGAAACCTTCCCTGCCTTCTAGAAGAAGAGGACTGAACTTTGGTTATTTCAGGTATCAGGTCTGGTGGGCCACAAGAAGCTGTGGTAAAAAGGCATGAAAGGAGAAAGGCTGTGAGGGGAAAAGGCTTTGGGACACGCGGAGGCGATGCAAGGGGTGAATGTGCAGCTACCCAGACCAGCACAAGCCTCCTCTGGGACAGGACAGACCCTCAGAGAGGGAAGGGTGGTTCCATCTCCCTTTGGGTCCAAGGAAGCTGAGTAAAGAGGAGCAGTGACGTGGCAATCAGACTCCATCCCTGACTGGGCTTCCATCTTCTAGACAGGGTAGGTCCCTGGGCCTTGCCCATGGAGGGGTTACGACCAGAGCGAGAGGGATGGTAGAGATTAGAGGGTAGCCCCAGCAGTGTGGACACCCCATAGCAGGGCCCACGGGGCCTCTGGGACTTGCAGCTGAGCTCCGAGGACTGCAAAGACCTGGGTTGGGGCCTCCTATGTCTCACCAACACGTACCACAGGACATGGCTGGTCCAGGCCTGGGGGTCCCGGCTCGCCCTTCTGGCCTTTCATTCCTTTCCGACCCGGGACACCGCGATCCCCCTGGGTAAGAAGGAAGATGAGATGTGATGGTGGCTGCCAGGCCCAGGATGTCTCCAATGTCCCTCAGAGAGATGGGCCTGGGGCCGGCAGCCCCCTGCCCTGCTGCCCACAGACCAGCCTCTCCAGCCTTCCTCTCCCCACCCACCCCCGCCTTCTCTCTGCTGGCTTCCTGCCTCCCATGTCCTTTCCTTTCCACCTGCTCCCTCCTTCTCTTTGCTTGCCTCCCTCCTTCTCTCTTCCTGCCCCTCACTTTCTCTCCATCTCCCCCACCTTCTCTCCACGCTCACTCCGGTCTCCTTTTTCTCCTCGAGGTCCGGGAAAACCCTGTCAAAAAGATTAAAGGTTAAACCTGATGATGAAGTTTGAAGTGTGCTCTGGTTATCTCTTCATCTCTCTACCTCTCCCACCCACCTCTGCCCCTTCCCTCCACACATATCCATGGTACAAGCTGGACCATCCCTGGCTCCTAGGGGACACAGATGCTGGGTATGAGGATGATGCAGAGAAAAGCCTGGTTTCAGGACACTGGCACAGCTTCCTCCAAAGTAGAACACCACTGCTGTTTCTGGGTGGAAGCCCTCAGGCAGAACTGCTAGCAAAGAGCTTTGTCTTAGGTCAAGTCAGGTGCAGCAGACACTGGCCCAGGCTCGGCTGGGGACTGAGATACAGGAAGCCCATGGAAGTTTATATCACCATCTTCAGCAGGCCAAGAGATGGTGCTCTCTGTTCTCTGCACTTGGCTGAAACTCTTATGCACCCACCTACCCATCCACCCATTTGTTCATCTGTCCCTCTTCCCAGTCAACATTTCTAAGCATCCACTAGGAATTGGGCTTTAGGTTGACTGCTGAGGGCAGAAAACCAGATTTGATGAGTTCCCTCTTAGGCGGCACTAGTGGTAAAGAACCCGTCTGCTAATACAGGAGACATAAGAGACCTGGGTTCGATCCCTGGATTGGGAAGATCCCCTGGAGAAGGGCATGGCAGCCTATTTCAGTATTCTTGCCTAGAGAATCTCATGGACAGAGAAGCCTGGTGGGTTACAGTCCCTGGGGTCGCAAATAGTCAGACATGATTGAAGCAACTTTAGCATGCACACTCTTATATTTATTACGCTGTTTATTTTCTGTATCTTCTGATGTATTGATATCATCAAAATCTTGCTGGCTGGGGAGAGGCTGCCTCTCCTAGAGGTAGCCAACCCTTAGATATAGCAAAGAGCTAGGCAGGGAGCATGCTTTTCAGATGTAAACCAACCAATCCTGGAACAACCTCCTTTATCTAACTTACATACCAAGTCAATATTTTCCCTGCCCCAAATCATCCCAGGGCCAGGTAGCAAGCAACTAGAGACCACCCTTAGAGCCCAAAGCCTGCCAGGATTATTCGAACAAGCCAATCCTGAACTGTTGACTCTGCTTTGCCTTGCTTTCCCTAGAGAAATGCCAGTAAAATCCCTGCCCTAAGTTTCTCCCCCACTCCTTTCTGCCTGCCAACCAAAACTACTATGTCTCCATGTGGTCCCATGTGGGGCATGCCCTTTCCTTGAGAACTGTAAGCAATAAGCTCTTCTTTCAAAGGCATTTGACCTGTGTCATCACTAAGTCACTTCCATAAGTTAGAACCCCGCAGGTACAAAGGTACAAAGCTTAACATGACAGGCAGTGGGGTGCAGAAGATGATGATCAATACTCAGTGATAGAGATCTGAGCCAGACACCATGGGGTACCAGGAAGAGGGGCTCTTCTGTCCAGGTGTGAGGTCAGGAAAGGCTTCCAAGCAGACTCCCCATTTCAGCTGGGCCCGTTGGAGTGGATTGACTTTTTACTCTGGCCTCACCATGTGGCATGTGAGATCTTAGTTCCCTGACCAGGGATCAGGATCAAACCCCTGCCGCCTGATTGAAGTATGCAGTCTTAACCACTGGACCACAGTGGCCACAGTATTGGGGGCATAGAGTCCCTTTTCTCCACCACTACTGCCTCTCTGGGTCCACAGCCTGAGCTGGATTCAGTAGTGTCTTCTTCTCCTGGAACATCAATGGAACCCTCCAGTCAGAAACTTAGCCTAGAGTTCTTCCTCTTCCTGTCTGTAGGGTGACACTTTCTCCCTAAAGTTTAGGGTAGGCACCAGAGTCCTTGCAGCCCTACCTGCATCTGGTCACCATTTCCCTTGCAATAGCTATCTGATTTTCCTGGGAACCACTCTCCCTTCTCACAATTCACCAACTCTGCCCCCAGATCCAGGATGGAGCATTATGAGCAGGTCTGGCCAGTTAGGGAACCACATTCTTATGGCCAAGTGACGCTTCAGCATTGGCCCAGCTGGGACTGATAAGCGTTGATGAGATTTTTTTCAAAGAGTAGAGAGTGAGGCAAATGCCTTTCTCCAGGATTTGGACTTAGAGGGATGCAAGTTTGGAGTCCTTGGCTCCATCTCATCATCAGGTGGAAATTTGAACGATTCAAGAGGAAGAAGAGACAAGAGAGGGTAGAGGTTGGGGTGTGTTGACATACTTGAGCCTTGGATCTATATGTCACACATATGGGTTTTTCAGTTATGAGTTAGTTTAAACTAGTTTAACTTGTGTTTCCCATCTCTTGCAACCAAAAGATACCTGATCCAATCAACATTGGATTAATACTTCTCCCCTCCTTCTCGCAGTACTGCCATAGGTGAAGCCTTATCATCTCTCACCAGGATATTACAACATGCTCCTCATTGCTCTTCCTACCTCCCTACTCCAATGGATCCACTCTCCATCCTCGATCATCCTCCATCTGTCATCTGTCCAGCTATCACCCATCCATCCACCATCCATCATCCATCATTCGCTTACATCCATCACTCATTTACATACCATCCACCCATCCTTCCTCTACCCATCCCTCCACCCACCCATCCTCCCTTCTCTATCCATCATCCACCATCCACTCAACCACCCATCCATCCATCAAGAAGGCACCTACTCTGGGCTATGTGTTGGATTTGGCACTGTGGACATGGGTGGAACCAGTCAGTTGTAGTCCCAGCCATGGGGAATGGGGACACATCCAAGCCATCCAGATCAAGTTTCTGTATGGGCAGCATGAGGGCAAAAGTTACACATGGGAGAGACCCAGCCACAGTGGATAGCGAGCTACTTACATCTAGTCCTGGCTCCCCGGGTCTGCCCTGAGAAGAGACAAAGAGGAGATGTGAGGAGGCTGAGAAGGAGGTGTTGGGAACACAATTCACAGCCCTGTGAATTGTCCACAGAACCTGAACTCTGGCCCCAGGGACCAGTGAAGTGCAGGGGTTGAGCCCCCAGGACTGAGTGATACCATAGTTGGGGGGCATTAAAGGAAGGTGGTTACCTTCTCTCCTTTGGTTCCTGGCAGCCCAATAAGGCCTGGTGGGCCAGCTGGCCCCTGGGTGGAAAAGGAATGTGTCAAGAGTCATGATTGTTACAGAAATTAGCCCCTCTAAGGATGATCAAGGCTCATGACACTCACAGGCAGGCCGCTGGGTCCTCTCTCACCCGACGAGCCCTTCTCTCCCTTTGCTCCATCCAAGCCCTGGAAGCAAAGGGGAAATACCAGTTAAGGGGGCCAGAGAGATGGCAGAACAGGAAAGCCTGGGGCCTGACTGGGAGGTGAGGTGTGCAGGGCAGAGGGACAGACTCCAGGCTCTGACAGGCCTAGCCCTGACTTCCTTCTTGTGCAAATACCAGAATGCGGGTGTGCATGTTTTATCTTTTCTTACACATGGGCTTTTTCAGTAATCCTGGATGGTGGGTTATGGTCACACCCATTTCACAGATGAGGAAAGAGAGGTACAGAGACAGGCAGGGACAGGCCCACTTGCACAGGCAGGAAGTGGCAGGGCTGAGCAGCCACTGGGTTTCTGAGTCCCCGTCTTGGACCTCATCCCTGACAGCAGCTGTTTATTCTAAACATGATCTGGGGAGGCCTCGGAATAAAACAGAACCAGAAGCTGCACATCTGCTCAAGCTACATGCTCAGCCCCACTCAGCTCTGGGATTTCATGACTCTGAGGCCCCGCTTGGCCTCTGAGCTGGGGGTACGGAGATGTGGTCTCCCCCAGGGTAAACGAGGGAGATGCAGTGAGGCCAGCTGGCCTCCCTGGGTGAGGGGACACGGGCAGACCACACTCACAGTTTCAATTGGAGAGCAGAGGACATGACGTTATGTAATATACACTGAAGCCAGGACTTTGTATCCAGGCTGTGGGGTGGTACTTGAGGGGTGAAGAGGGGAGGGGGCAGGGAACGGAGAGGCTGAGTGTGGGCTGGGGAGCACCAGCTCTGAGGACACTGGCAGGGGCTTGGGAATGGCCAGGCCATGGGAAGACGCGGGGCTGGTCCAGGGCGGAGTATGGGGCCCTCACTTTGCCTACAAGCAAGAATTTGGGGAACCAGCCAGTCTGTGAGCCTGCAGTAAGCAGGGGGCGGGGCTCTCATCCATGCTTCAGAACTCACCTTGGGACCCTGCATCCCCTGAAGGCCCTGGAGGAGGACGAGAAAGCCCCAGATTAGAAACGCCATCAGGCTGGGTCCAGACCTCCCGGCCAGGCCCTCTTGCAGCAGCCACGGAGGCTTCCAGGCCACTCACTGGCCCTGTGGCCCTGAACTCTGGCCTCCCAAGCCCAGACCTGGACTCTGCTCGGCTTGCCTTGATGTGTCTCCTCCCCCCTGGGGTATCCTGTTGTCTTCTGGGCCTAAGCCCGCCACCCTCTCCACATCCCAGCTGCTTCAAGCCAAACTTTCTTACCATGGGGCCTGGGGGACCAGGAGGGCCTGGGGGCCCTGGTTCTGCCATGATCTGGGCCTAGGAAGGGTCAGAGGTGGATTAGTTGCCCATTGCCCCACCACCCCTCACTTACCCACACTTGAGCTCATCAGACACTGGAGGAGCACTCCCTGGGTGCTTGGCCCTGAGCTCCACACTGCCCCCAAGAGGCACCGTGGTGGGAGGCTCAGTGCTGGCCTTGGGTCCAAAGATGGGCCTGAGGCTCCCCCTCCCACTCCCCCACTGCCCTGAGCTTGGTCAGGCCTGGTGGCCCTGTGACCCAAGGCTCAGGGCCCCAGCCAGCCCTCAGCAGAGACCTTCAGCCCCCTTAACAGGCAGCCCCCTTACCAGGCTCTCCTGTAGCTTGTCAGATGCCGACTCTCCCTTCTCTCCCTTGGGGCCGTTGGCACCCTGCAGGAGAGGATGGCCTTGAGCCCTTTCTGTCTATCACCAAAATTGCCACCCACGGGGCTCAGCACCTCCCCTTCCTTCCCCCATCAAGCAGTGCATCGTCAGGAGCTTTCCCTAAATCAGTGGGTATTCAGAGAGCATCTTAACAGCAGTGTAAGTTGTTTCCTGTGGGGCAGCCAGGCGCTCTAGGAGAAAAGACCCGGGGTTCAAATCCTGGCACCAGCTCTCTAGCCGAGTGAGCCTCGTGGGTGGACAATGGATGTGATGTGGTGGTAGCTGTTCGCATCTGGCCATGCATGACAAAAGCAATGATAAAAATGATGATGACAGTGGGTCGCTATTCCCAGCCCTGGCTGTGTGTCCCTTTGTGGGAGGGGGAGGGTATGACTCCCATTTTAGAGCTGAGGAAACTGAGGCCCAGGGAAGTTAGGTCACTTGTGCTGGGTTCCAGAGTCAGTGAGATGGAGCAGGATGCAAACTTGGGCTGTCAGAGCTCCCCGTCTAGTCATCTGCCATTAAGCGGGGCCTCCTTATTTCACCTGAAGGAGGCCTCTCGATGTAAGTGGTAGGTCTGTCTGCAGGGGAGGAACTGGGGGCTCAGAGTCAGGGCATCCCAGCGCTTCCCTTCAAAGGCCCAGTGGGCTGGGGCTGAGACTGGGCTGAGACTAGAACTGCAGAGTCCCAGACCCTGGCAGCCACCATGGTGGGCATGTATTCACCTTGGGACCCTCACATCGGGCAAGTAGCAGGGGGGATTACCCAGCTACCTTACCGGGAGGCCTGACAAGCCCATCTCTCCTGCTTCCCCTTTGGGTCCTGCTGGTCCAGCTTCTCCTGGGTCTCCTTTCTGTCCTTTGGGACCCTGAAAATCACAGAACAAGATACAGTAGGCACTTTCCCTTCCCCCATGCAGAGCTTATTCTAAGCCAGGCCAGACCCTCCCTTCTTCCTTGTGGGTCCTCTCCTGCAGACCAAGTGATGGATGAACAGAGGGGCCTGGCTGGCAACACAGAAGGGGCAGTCCCCGCCTGTCTTACTGCAAGCAGGGCTGCAGGGTGGGGTAGGGGGCAGAGGGGGTGGAGCAAGTGGGACTGGGTAGCTATTAACGGGGTGAATATGGGGTCAGGGCCAACCCTATGCTCACATCTCAGGAGCCAATGGTGAGAGCCCCCAACCCCATATACAACCAACCATCCCTCAGTCACCCAACCAGCTGCTGCTGCTGCTGCACTCCTTCATTCAACTGATTGTATAATGTCCACTCTATGCCACACACCAGGGACCCAATGCTAAAGGCACATCCACGAATGTTAAGTGATACCCATGGACACTGTCCCGTCTACGCAGGATCATACACATGCGTGTATACTTACACTAATACTAATAATGACAGTGAGATGACTCTTTGCTATTACATGCCAGGCACTACTCTCGAGTGTGTTCCGTGTGCCGGTATTTAACCCTCAGCCCTTTAACCATCTTCAGGAACTGAGGGACCAAGGAACCGAGGCTGCCAGAAAGCGAGTAGCTTGCTTGAGGTCTATGGGCAGAACTGGGATTTGCACACAGACTCCAGAGCAAATGTTCTGTTTTCTAGAACTCTGCACGCAAGCATGCACACACACACACACACACACACACACACACACACACACACACTCAGCGACATAGCATCAGGCACAGCATCACCAAGGAAATGAAAGGCCCAGAGACCTTCTCTCCATCGATTCCAGGAGCACCAGGCAATCCGAGTTCGCCCTGGAAGGGAATAGACAGCAAGGTGGGGGTTATGGTGCCCCGGCCCCCGGCAGGGATTTGTGGCCAGGCTGCCTCTTCTGACCAGCACACTGGCCCTGGGTTGGGTCCCTGAGGTTGGACCTTCAGGAAGAAGCTCACTGCGTGCCTAGCACAGTGCCAGGCACAAGCCACCCCCTTCTCCATTTCCTCAGTCCCTATGGGCAGGTGTGGCCATGGCTGTGGTAGGTAGAAGCCGAGGGTCCAGGCCACATAGCCCAGGGATGATGGCCGGGACCAGATCCTGCCTGATTTTAAAGTCAGGCTCCTTCTCCTGAGCCAAGTGGGCAGGTGTGAACGATACACACAGGCCATAGGAATGGCTCTGTAACCTACAGGACTTTGTAACATCACAGGGGGCCCATTTATGGGTTATATGTGTGAATGAGGCATTGCAGGGAGAAGCCAGGGCCAGGAAGAAGGCACCCTGCTTGGTTAGGAAGGAGCAGGGCCACTTCCCCTGAGCCCTAGAGGCCAGGCCAAGGTGCTGGGAGAGAGGCAGAGGCAGAGAGGAGACCCTGGAGGCGGGCCCTGGAGACAGAGACCTGGGGGGACCACACAGTTACATCTGCACTGACCTTGGCTCCGGGGATCCCTGGTGGCCCTGGGGGCCCCTGTGGCCCAGGAGGACCCTGTGTGTGAAAGTCAAGGGGTCAGTGTTTAGGAGGGGCTTCCCCATCACTGCCCACCCACCTCTCCATCCTGAGGCCCCAGATCATATAGCCCCCTTCCCACCTAGTCAGGTCAGGCCTGTGTCTTGCGGGAGACCCGGCAGATGGCACCAGGTATCGGGTAAGACAGCACAGTGTCTACCCCTCTGCCCTCAGTATACATTTCATCACAATACACTCCTGCTTAATCCCATGATAGCTCTGCACTGCCTCTAGAAGCAAATGTAAATCCAACCCCTGCTGGCACTCAAAGCCAGCCCCAAATCATATCCCCAGCAGAGACCCAGCACTGTGCTCTCTGCCTCTCCTGTGAACTCTGGTGTTGTGCGCTGCTCCTGGGCATCCCTTTGTTTCATGGGGAGGGGACCGTATCTTCACTCCCGAGCTCCCGTCCCTGTCCAGGCTTCCCTCAGGCCACCTGCCCACCATCACCCCCCACTCCCCCATGTCCCTTCACAGAGGCTGCTGTCACCCAGCTCACAGTTCAGCAAGCCCCAGGCCTCTTCCCTTTACCTCCTCTCACGTACCTACCCCCTCCTTTTTAAAAATTGAAGTATAGTTGATATACAATACTATATATGACATACAATATTATATAATATAATCACTATAATATAGTGCTTCAAATCACTGTCCAAGGTTATACTCATTTATAGTTATTATAAAATATTGGTTATATTCCCTGTGTTGTTCAACATATCCTCGTAGCTTATTTTATACATAATAGTTTGTGCCTCTTAATCCCTTCCTCCATCACCCCTTCCCCCTTCCCTCTCCCCACTGGTCATCACTACTTTGTTCTCCATATCTGTGCATCTGCTTATTTTTTTTGTTATATTCACTAGTTTGTTATATTTTTTTAGATTTCACATATAAGTGATACCATATAGTATTTGTCTTTGTCTGATTTATTTCACTTAGCACAATACTCTCTAAATCCACCCATACTGCTGCAAATGGCAATTTTTTTTAATGGCTGAGTAGTATTCCTGTGTGTGTGTGTGTGTGTGTGTGTGTGTGTGTACACATCTTTATCCATTCATCTATTGATGGACACTAAGGTTGTTCCGTAACTTGCAACCTGCCCCTTCCTGTCGGTGCCTCCATTGAGATGCCCTGGTCTTGCTCCTTCCTCCATTCCACCCACCCTCCTCCAGATTCAGGCCCAGCACCTGCTTTCCTGGTGGCCTCTCTGCCTCCAGTGACTCCACCTTCCGCACCATTCCCCAGCTAGCCTGGCCCTCAGTATGTTTTTCGACTTCACCCCTCTATGTCTGCCCAGTGAATCCAGTCGTCCTCCCCGCCAGGCATCCACAATCCACCTCCCCCTTCTCTGCACTCAGGGCTTCTCCTTGCGGCTCTGGCACAACCACGCCCAGGCACACCCCTGGGCCACGTCTCACCACACCACGCCGTGCAGGCCTGGGGTGGGCACCGCTACCATCAGCCTGTGTGCCCCTGAGGCCTGTGGGAGATAACTGAAATCGAAGCCCAGGTGGGACTCGGTGCTGACCCCCAGTCTTTGAGGACCGCCTCCCCCCACCCCAGCTCCTCTCCCTGGTACCTCTGAGCAGCTGGCCCCCAACCCTTCTCTCCAACTGGTGATGGGTCCCGGGTTTGCCTCGCGCTGGGACAGGGCTGAGGCCACACAACTCCCGAGTCTCCTGGAGCAGGCCTTGCCACACTCTTCTTTCTCACCCAGTGGTTGTTAGGAGATCCAGCCTTACAGCCTCTGGTTTCTAGAAAGGCCCCGAGAGGCCCTGCCTCTTGCTTCTGAAGGGCGAGCTGCCCTTTTTTGCCTTGGCCTCTGTGGAGCTCAGGGCCGCATGGGCCCATTTACAGCAGCTCTCTCAGCATCGTGTGGGATTCCACATAGTACTGACTTCCACATTAGGTAGCTGGTGACGTTACCTAATATGTGTTAAGTCTCTGTGTTAAGCTACCCCTGGTCCCTTGTGTAAAAAAGTGTGCAAAGTGAGTGGATATTCCCCCAGGAAAGGAATGCTAGGGGTCCACCAGTAATGCTACCTTAAGCGCGTCCAAGATCCTGCCATCGTAGTCAATTACCACTGTGTCTCCTTGTTCACCCTTGAGGCCTGGGGGACCCTGAGGCAGGAAGAAGAGGAAGAATTTCAGGGATGGTGGGCATTTTTGTTTCACCCCGAGAACCTAGTAACTGGGCTGCACACAGGCCTGTGAACTGTGGGCCAGGTCTCAGCTAGACCCTGGGCAGCCCCCAGCATGGTGTCTTCTCGAATTCTCTCAGGAACTGGCACCCTGGCTCACTGAGTGAGCATTCTGGGGGCCAGGCAGGGGGTTACATGAGGGAGAGGGGAGGCCTGGGGCCAGCTGAGGAACACACCTCCACCAGGTCTGGAGGTGGCTGTGATTCACCTTCGCGTGAGAACCGAAGCCCACTGAGGCTCGTCCTTGAGAGAAAACGGAGAGCCTGACTTTGATGTGAAGTTCTTCAGATTTTTAAATGTTGGCAAACAAAAACACCCAAACCCTCCCAAACACTGTGCAGGCCAACTAGAGACCTGACAGCTGGAGGCTGCCCTCGTACCTGTTTCTTAACCTCGGGGGGAGGCTGCACGCATGCGGTGCTGACACTCCCATTCTCTCCTGGTTCTGAGTCCACACCCACCCACGCGCATGTCCACACGTACGTGTCTGCACACGCACTTGTCGACACAGGCACAGACGTGTGCCCTGCTGTGGGCCTCACCTTTCCCCTCTGAACCTCCCCTCCCCCCAGACTCTTCTCTGCTAGAGCAGCAGGGGACGTGAGCACTCTGGTCAGGCTTGAGGCCGGCTGCACCGGAGAGGCCAGGGCCTCATTTGCCAGCTGCCTCCATGGTCATGGCCTTTATGGAACCGTGAGGTGCACACTGAACGGCCACACTCAGTGCTTAATCCAATTCCCCGGCCATCTGCTCCACCAGGCTGCCAGCTTAGACCTTTGTCTTGGAGGCAGGAGGCAGCTTGTGGGAGCGCGAGGGGGATGTGATTGCTGGAGATCACAGGGCCAAGAACAAGGTGTGCTGATAGGGGGCTCATCATGAAAGATCTGGGACCAGTTGTGGTGTCTGTGCTCCAGCGACAGGGGTGAATTGTGAAGTGGGGCTGGGGGAAAGGCAAGGCCCCATGTAGGTCATGTAGGATAACGCCATCCATGACATATTGAAGTCTATGTTGAATGCGCCAAGGAAAAGAGTCTAGGAGGGCAGACACTTGCCTGGGGAGGAGGAGAAGAGGGAGGAGGATGGGACTCTTCTTTTCATATCCACAAGTGAACATTTTACCCAAAGCATGTATTAAGGATTAAACAGCAAACAAACAAACAAAACCCAAGCCAATCCACTAATGAAATATTAGTGTTAAAAAAAAAAAGACTCCAAGTTCTTGGAGCACCACTGCTGCTCTGGGGTATCTGGGGACGGGGACTTCGGAAGGAATCAGGTCCCTGGATCTCACTGGTGTGGCCGGGGCGGGGGGACTGCTTACCCGCTGCCCCGCAGCTCCATCAGTGCCTGGGTGGCCGGGCTCCCCCTGTGGAGACACGTGGCTACAGGTGTGTATGGCTGAAGCCAAAAGTTCCCCTGCCCCCACCAGTCCCCTCTTCCCCAAAGAGCACAGGGCTGAATGGCTGTGACTAGCATCTCCCAAGTTGAGAGACCAAGTTGTGGGATCCTCCTCTGACCCCTTGTTGTGTAGACAAGATGGGCCACTGAGGCCCAGGGGCCCAAGGCTACACGGTGAAGGCCTTGTCACTACTTGAGACCACATGCCACCTGACTCCAGGCCAGCCTCTGATTGCCAGGGCCCAGACCCTTGGGCCAGGGACCTCCTGGACTCCCAGCTTAAAAGGGTAGATTGGAGGTGAAACTAGTCTCCCCCAGGATGGGCCTTCGGGAGCCAGAGCAGCTCACATGATGTCACCTTGGGCCCCAGGGCTCAGTCTGTGCCTTTCTCTACCTGAGGCCCCCTTGCTCCCTGACTGGCCCTGCAACAGAGGCGTCTGCTGTGGAGCTTCCAGGCTCTGCGGGCTTCCAGAGGAGGAACCTGCCCGAGCCCACCCTGGGGTGGGGGTGGTGAGTTCAGTACAGCCCCAAGACTCAGGCCCCAGGCCCCCTTCTGGTTTGGTTGGAGGAGCTCAGGGGCTCAGTCAGGTTAGAGGAAGCCTGGCCAGGATTTGGCTGTTGTCTTAAGGGGATGAGGGACCAGGGAACACAGCCAGTTCCTGGCTTGGGGGAAGGGCAGAATGGGGCCACTTGAGATGGGAGCCAGAGGACTTGAGGGCATAAGGGGAGGTCAGTGGTCTGGATGATTTGCCAGGCCTGTTGGTGAGTGCGACCCTGGCCTTCCTGCTGGCCTCCCTCTGGCCTGCCCTGGTCATCAGCCCATGTGCCTGTGATGTAAAAAGGTTGGGTAGGCGCTTCACCAGGCAGGTGGGAACTGGGGAGATGGGAGGCAGGGGGACCACTGGAGGAGGGATGTGTACCTACCTTGGGCCCTGGGGGTCCAGAGAGCCCTGGTTGGCCTGGTATCCCATCATCCCCCTGAAGAGAGAACAGTGGAGGCTGCAGCCTTCATACTTGGACACATTGGCTGGGTCCTCTGGCAGTCAGCTGGCCATCCCCCCTCTGCACTTCCTAGCACACCAGTCCACTCCTGGTAGTGGCACTGATCACACTGGGTCAGCAGGGCAGTGCTCCCTCCCCTCCTTGTCCATCTAGCGCAGGGGTGGGGTAAGACCCACTTCTGTCCCCTGTCCCCAACAAGCTGAGTAGGTGTGTGCAAAAGGAATGGATCAGCTGAAGGAGAGGTAATTCATTCCCTCAGTCTGAGCACCCTCTGCGGGCCAGGCAGACAAGATCCCTGCTCAGTGGGTCAGAGGAGACCAAGGGCCAGGAAATATCCAGGTAAATTCATAGCCTCATGTTGGGTAGTGGATGTGCCAGAAAGATGTGCCAAAAGAAGGAATGGCGGGATAGAGAGGGACTCAGGGAGAATGTGGGCTTCAGTAGATGGCTGGGGATGGCCCTTCGGAGGAGGGCACAGCTTTGTTGAGAACAGTAGGAGGAGGAGGCCCGTCCATGGGAAACAATGGAGGAAGATCAATCTGGGTCAGTGGTTCCCCGAGTGCACGTTAGCACCTGAGGGCTGCTTGAACAGAGCATGCCCATCTCTAGTGTCTCTGACTCAGTGCCTTTGGGCCCCAAACACGTGGGTCTAATGAGGCCCAATGATGCTGATGATACTGCTGGTCCAGGGATCACACTTTGAGAACCAATTTGTGGTGGGAACGAATGATGTGCCTGAGTAATTCTATGTGTTTGATGTATTTCTCTAAGAATGAGTGAATGAATGAATGAATGTGATCCTGGCTTCTGAGACAGGTAAGAGCAGCCACCCACAGTGAGGACTTGGGTTTGGACCCTCTGTGCCCAGCCCCCGCTTTTATCTCCAGCCACTTCCCACATCCCTGCCAAGAAGGCCCACCACAGCCGCCCCATCTTCTTCCCAGAAACACTGGGCTCACCCTGGTCAGAACCACCTGGACACGAGGCTCCTCCTCCTCTGGTAGAAGAGGCTCTGATGACCTCCACCCAGCATAGCCCATAGACCCTGAGCTCCTCAGAGAGATTCGCATGGGTGATGGGGCAGATAGTCCTGGACTCCACTCTGACCCTGACCTGGTCCTTCCCAAGCTGAGTGATCCTGGGCAAGTCACTGCTCATGGAGGCTATGATGCCCCCAGTCTCAGAAGGTGGTTGGGAGATTGGAGGGAATGCATTGAAGGCCCTTGGCTCCCAGAAGATGCTCACTAAAGATAGCTCCTTCCCCCCACTTTCTCTCCTGCCCAGTCCAGGGGCCCTGGCTCCTGGAGGAGGACAATAGCCTGCCTTCCACCCTGGCAGGTGCTGCTCAAGGAAGGAAGAAAAGAGAGCTGACAAGCTAAAGGGTTTTATTATTCAATCCTCACAACCTGCTGTGAAGGTAAGGTAGGAAAAATCTATCATAACCTCATTTGACAGGGCAGTAAACTGAGGCCCAGAGAGGAGATGAAGTCACTTGTTCAAGGTTATAGAGCTTGGTCTTCTAACCCTGCTGCTTTGGTTTCTGTGGGGGAGGAGGAGGAGGAAGTGGTGGGGTGAAGGAGCCCCCTATGCCCAGGCCTGAGACAGGAGTGAGAGGCACTCACCTTGGGCCCTGGGGGTCCACTTGGGCCCTGGAACAAGAGAAGAAGGAGTGTTAGACATCATCCCAGAGGCTGCACCTGGGTTGTCTTCCTTAACATCCTTGTTTTATAAAGGGTGACATCAAGTCCCAGAGGGTGGCAGAGCTGTCTCTGGAACCCAGCTGAGCCACCTGTTTGTATCTTGGACAGAAATCTGCATTAGATCCCAAGCCATGATGAGTGGACTGCAGGCTCTCTCCCAGGGGTGTGGGGTTGTGAGAATTTTGCTGGGGTTGGGGTCCTGGCCCATCTGCTCCCCAGTGGTGGGCGGGGGGGCAAGAGCCCAGGTATGCACGCTGGGCTGCATGCCCAGTCCCGCTGTGGGTGTGCAGGGGAGAGGAGCTTCCGGGCCTTGAACCACGGTCCTGCCTGCCCAGGCCTCTGAAATGCCCTGGATACTGACCATTGCACCATCTTGTCCAGCTTCTCCTTTGGGACCCTGAGGAGGCATAAGAGAAGGGCACTGAGGTGGGGTGGGGTGGGGGCGTCACAGTTGCCTGAGCCTGTATCTCCTGCCAGACCCTGGGCTGGGGCTGCAAGTACATTCTCTCATGCAAGTACATTTTTGTCCTCATCAAACCTCTGAAAAGTGGGTGTCACTGTCCTCACTTCACAGATGAGAAAGCTGAGGCTCAGGGAGTTATGTGCCCAGCATGACAAGGAATCGGTGAGCCCGTTGAGTAGTTGCCCTGATAGGGAACCCTGGAGGCAGTCTAGGGGAGGTGCTAGCTCTGCACTGGAGGGGAAGCATGGTCCAACCTGAGCCCCTGGGGGAAGGAGAGGGGGCGGTACAATGGGGTCTGACCCCGCTGTTTGGGTTAGGACTAAGGGAGGACAACAGTGGCTTCATACTAGGGAGAAAGACAGAGAGAGATGGAAAGAAAAGAGAGAGAGAGGGAGAAGAGGTTGGTAGAGAGCTGCAGAGACAGGGTCTCAGGGTCAGGACTGGGACTGAGATTATAACCAAGGTCAGAATCTATGTGCAGTTAGAAAGTGGGGTTAAGAGTTGGGTCAGAGTCTGCAGGCGTGAGTTAGGGTTTGGATAACAGTCTGAACTGGGGGTGTGGATCTGGATTTGGAAATGAGTTTGGGGTCAGACCTGGGTTTGATTCCTGGGTTGGGAAGATCTCCTGGAGAAGGAAATGGCAACCCACTCCAGTACTCTTGGCTGGGAAATCCCATGGACAGAGGAGAGGAGCCTGGTGGGCTACAGTCCATGGGGTCACAAAGAATCTGACATGACTGAGTGACTAACACTTTCTCTTTCACTTGGGATCAAGGCCTGCGTTGGGGTCAAGGACCTGGCTTGTGTTAGATTAAGGTGTGATTGGAGTAGGAGTCTGGGCTGGGGCTGGGGCTGGGGACAGGATAGGGTGGGGATTGGTTCTGGGATCAGGGTTCGGAGGTTTGGTAACCACATCCTGTGTGGTCCAGCTCCACGCTCGATCTTACCACTGGGCCTGGTGCTCCCCTGGGGCCATCTTTCCCAGTGTCACCAGGAGGGCCCCGGGCCCCAGGGGGTCCTGGGGGCCCTGGAGGCCCAGCAGCTCCATCTTGCCCAGGATCTCCCTGAAAAAGATGGGGCCAGCATGACTCTGAGGGTGGGCAGAGGGAGTTCTGGCCTCCAGAGAGAGGAGAGAGAGAGGCCTCCTCATAGGGGTGGCCAGATGCCTTTGCCTTCCCAGCCTGTGGCCAGCTTGGAGGAAAGGGCCTTGTTACTGGGCCTCTTGCTACTTCTTGGTATGCAAAGGGACGGGACAGGTCCCTTGGTATATAAAGGGACATGACCTACACCTCTGCATAAGAGGCCAATAGGATCTCGTACCCTCCACGGTATGCATCATTGCTCCAGCTGTCAGTGCCTGAAGCCCAGCTACGGAGTTTAGGTGAGAGATGAGACATATAAGGTGTGGGACAAAACACATGTGCCCAAACAGCTCCCTTCCTCTTGGAAGGGAGGGGACTGTTTGCCTCCTGAAAGACCTTCCTGGTCGCTCAGCTCCTGCTTTATTAAGTGCTAGAGGCACACTCTCGGGCATTGGTCCCAGAGAAACACTGAAAATATTGAAAATTAGAAACATGTCCACACAAAAACCCATACGTGAACATTCACGGCAGCTTTATTCACAATAGCGCCTCACGAGAAACAATCCAGATGTCCTTCAATGGTGAATGGTTAACCAACTGGGGTCCATCCATATCACAGAACACTGCTCAGCAATAAATAAAAGGAACCAGAGCGCTGACACACGCAACAGCATGGATGCGTCTCAGGAGATTCACGCGGAGTGAAAAAAGCCAGTCTCAAAGATGGCTACTAGATGACTGCAGCTACTCGAGACTCTTGGAATGCAAATTTATGGAGATGGAGCACCATCAGCAGTGGCCAGGGGTTAGGGATGGGGGCTGGAAAGGAGATAACTATAGCTATAGATGGAGAGCAGGAAGGCTTTTTGTGTGGTCATTGCACAAATCTCAGAGTGATAAAATTGCATGGAAATACACAGATGCACAAATAAGTAAAATGGGTGAAACTGGAATAAGGTTGGTGTATTATATCAATGTCAGTTCCCTGGTCGTGGGATTGTACTATAGCAATGTAAGATGTCACCATTGAGGGAAACTGGATGACGGGTACAGGGGGTATTATTTATTACAACTGCATGTGAATCTATAATTATCTTAAAAAAACAAAAAAGCGACAAAGGGCCACACCGCCTCTCACTTGCAGCACCCAATCTCTGACTCTCGTCTGTGTTAGTAACGGGTTAGACCTCAGGCAGCCAGAGCCCTCACCTTGTGGCAGGTCCCCGCGAGGAGAGACTTCAGAGCCCCTGGCACTTCCTGACGCTCTTGGGGGCGCCTGCCCAGTACTGGCTCCGGGCACAGTAATGGGGCATCCCGGGCTCACAGTGCCAACAACGCCCAACCCACCTCTTGCCAAGAAAGGAAGAAGGCTTTTGTAGATCGGGCCCCTGCTGCGTGTCCAGCGCCGAGGGGTGAGGTTGTCTCACCCAGCCCTGTGACCACCTGGCCAGGGCACAGCTACTTTTTTAACAGATGAAGAAGCCAGGGGTTAGAGAGTGTAATAATTTACTCAGGGTTACAGAGTTAGGAAAGGCAGTGTCTCTTCTGGCCACTGAGGCGAGAATCTCTTTTAGACAGTTTTTTTCAATCTGTGGGCCCCACGATATGAGAAAACTTGCCTCTCTAGACCAGAGCACATATGACATAGCTCACTTGTCTTCCCAATTAAAAAATTAACTGAAGTTCTCAATGTCCACCACACAGATCTTCTGACCAGTCTGACTTAGCCAGGGTCCTCACCAAGAGAATAGAACTCCAGCCAAAAGACAACAGAGTTTGGAAATGTTACCCAATCAGAGGGGCAGTGGTGGTGGGTGATTCCTGTCTCATTTTACCCTGTGTTAGGGATCAGCTGCTAAACAATTCAAAGGCTCAGGGTGGAACCATTGATCTGGACTCTCCTTATCAAGGCAGAAAATGAATGTTGACACTCGAGCATGTTCTAGAGGGCGTTTAACTTCTGAGGTACTTGGAATGAGGCTGGACACCCTTCTCCCCCCAGGATCGGATGGCTGAGGTCTCCCCCTAGGAACGCAGGATGAGTTGAGGGGAGCGTGCACATCAGCAGCCCAGACTCGGCCAGTCTACCTTGAGGATGCGGCGACCGTACACGTGATGGTCTCTACTTATAAAGTCCGGACTGAGCCTCGGGAAGACCATCTAGTCAGCAAACAGGTGTTTGATGAGAAAGGCAGGAGGGTGATTTGGAAACCACCAGGCTATTTCTGGAGGCAAAACCACTTAACCCAGCCTGGAGAGAGGAAGGGCATTGGAAGTGACGGTCCACAGTGAGAGGGTAACAGGCAGGAAGGCCAGGGGTCTCTAAATGGAGGAAATAGGCTGCAAGTGTTGGACATTTTTTATCTTTCTCTTAAGCGTCAGGAGGAAATAAACAAGTGTCAGATTTTTTTCCTTCTCTACACAAATTTAAAAAGAGGTTTCTCTTAAAATTTTGTGTTGCCATGATGACAGCTGGCTCCACCTGAACTTAACTTTTCTCAAACCTTGTGCTAACCGAGGTGTTTTTCTAATGGACGTTTGTCTTCAGCTGTGTTAATGAACTATGTATTTACCTTAGACTCTGTCTTTCTTCAAGTTGGTTCTGCTTAAGACTCAGAACCAATAAGGGCTCAACAAACCTGTTTTACTCATACATTGTTCTAATCTATGTTAATGAAACTATATATTTACTTGGAAACTTCCCTTTCTTCAAGATTCATGTCAATCGTTTCATGGTCTGGGTTCTATGACTCACCTGGTGCCAATGTTATCTCAAAACGCATGGTGTGGGTGAGGGGCCTGGTGCCACTCTGAGANTAATGAAACTATATATTTACTTGGAAACTTCCCTTTCTTCAAGATTCATGTCAATCGTTTCATGGTCTGGGTTCTATGACTCACCTGGTGCCAATGTTATCTCAAAACGCATGGTGTGGGTGAGGGGCCTGGTGCCACTCTGAGACATCTCCTTTCTCTAATTAACAGCTCGCTGATAGGTATGTAACATATTGCTAAAGGCTAGCAGGGGGCACTCTTTCTGCCCCCTTCTGATGTCTATGTCAGAAGTTTTCTCTATCACTTTTATAGTTTAATAAAACTTTATTACACAAAAGCTCTGAGTGATCAAGCCCGTTCACTGGCCCCCAATTGAATTCTTCTCCTTCAGAGGCCAAGAACCCCTGCATCTTTCGTGGTTCAGCAACAACCTTTCAACAGTCTCCAAAGAGGGCTGCTATGCTTGATCCTATCCCTCGGGTTCTTCTGCAAAGGGACCTCGCCCTCCCCTAAGAGCTGGAGTCCATTTCTTCACCCTCTTGACTTGGATGGGTCCTGTGACTTCTGTGACCAACAGAATGCTGTGGACATGATGCTGTGTCCCTTCTGGAAGTGGCTCTTAACTGGCCTCCTGACTCTTGGAATGCTACTCTTGGGACGGCCCTTCTCCCACCAGGCTGGGAGAGGCCTGAGCCACACAGAGCTCCATGAGCGGGCATCTCCGGCTGAGTTCCCCACCAATAGCCACATGAATTGCCAAGACATGTTTTGTGGAGTCCATGGAGCCCATCCAGCGGGAGTCCTCACTCTGCTTCAGACTCTATTGAGGAGACCCCTGGTTTGGCAGGAGGCACTTCTGGGTACCCAGGCCCAGGGGGCATGGAGGGCTAGAGGAGACTCTGACCTACTGTTCCCACTTAGCTGAGTATCCACTTTCCTGATTGCCATGAACCTTCATTTCAGGGGCTTGGGATATAGGATGTCATCCCCACTCACAGTGGGAGAAACTGAGTCTCAGAGGAGGAGGTGATTCATTCCACGTCACTCGGCTGGTAAGCGACAGAATTGAACTCTGGGCTCAGGGCATCTGGCTCCAACCATAGCCTTCCCTCTTCCTGGGTGCAGGCTGCTCTCAGGAAGATCAGTCTCTAGTCTGGGCCTGGTGCCAGCCCCACTTTCTGCCTACCTATGGTGATAAGGGTGACCAGGATGTCTGCTTGTCTGTGCAGAGAATGGAAGCTTTGACCAGATCAAGGTGCTTCGGGCTTCTACCCGATGGCTGCTTAAGTAAAAACAGGCAGCAAGATAGACCACGGGTGGGGAGGGGGCTGTCACTCACTTCTTTCTGTGATAAGCACAGGGACCCAGAAGAAACACTTATTATGATATAAAACAAACCATGTGGGACTGGGGGAGGGTCTTGCTTGGTTCTTACCTGGGGGCCAAAGTCTCCTGGTGCACCCTAGGAACAAAAAACAGGGTGATACATCACCACTACTTCTATTACTTTTACACATGTGTGGAGCGTCTGCTCTATGCTCAGTGATTCACATGCATGGTCTCACTCCAATTGCAACAAATATAATGGACAGGCTCTATGTTATCTCCATTTCCATTGAGGAAACTGAGGCACAGAAAGGCTAAGTAACTTGCCCAAGGTCACACAGCTAGCAGAGCCAGGGCTTGGAGTGAGGCGGTCCCCTATCTATTGCCAGCCTCCAGACACAGCGGAATAGAACCCTTGAACTTCCAAATAATGACGGATGATAACTGATTCACCGCTTGAAGTCACCAAGCTTTGGAGCAGTGTGCTATGTAGCAGTAGATGCCAAGACAACAATTTCTCTCTGGTTTCAAGAGAGAGGTCTCCCTGCCTTCCTCATTTCTACGACTCAGTGGCATTAGCCAGAATTGGCATGAAGGCAACCACTCCACCTGCCAGCTGGTGCCTATTCTTTGTTCATCTACAAAGAACACTTATTCTGTTACCTTGCGCAGTCTTCTCCATGAGAAGTTGGTTTTGATTTACAGATGGAGTAACTTGCCAAAGATGACACAGTTGCAGTGGAGCTGGAATGCACACCTGAGGCTCCAAACATCAGATCCTGTGCCTTGCTCAGCCCCAGTGGTGGACGGGAACCCTGGCTATTCTGACCCACACAGGGCACATGGCAGTGGGGGTTGTGGGTGGCGCAGCACAGCCTGGCTCTGTCCTGCTTAAGAAGTGTCTGTTTGTTCTACCACACCCAGGGCTGTTCTGGCCCCTGACTCCACTGTGGGACACATAGGTCTCTCCTCTCTCCTGCTATCCTCCAAGGCACCTGGAGTCCCAGCCCTCCAGGAGTCTGACTGTGACATTTAGTGCCCATATGCCAGGGAAGTCCTTCTCTCAAAGGGCTACAAATATCCTGGGGCTAGCTCTCTACCATTTGTTTTCCTGGGAGGTGTTCTCCCCACAAAGAATGCTGTCAACAGTGTTCAATTCCCCGGGCTTTTCTGGTACCTTCCTCTTTTTCAGGTTTGATAATTTTGGAAACCCGTCATTTTGGATGGACTATGCTTTGACTTTTGTTACACTCTGGTGCCAGAAGAACTCAGATTCAACCCTCCAGGTACTTTAACTTGTCACATGTAAGCCTTGTAACCATTTTAGGAGGTAGGCACCACTAACCCCACTTCACAGATGAAGAAACTGAGGCTCCAGGAGGGGATGTGACTTGCCCAAGGTCACACCCTGGGACTGGGGTTTGAAGGCAGGTTTCTGGCCTCCTTTTTCAGCCTACCACATCTGGACAGCCTCCAGCATCACTTACCTTTTCCCCTTTGGGGCCTGGAAGTCCCTGGAGAAGGGAGACAGAGAAAGAACATGGGTGAGTGAAGAGGACTAGGCTGACCCCCTTCTGGTTTCCCTGAGGCTCTGAGGGCAGAAAGGCCTGTGAGGCTAAGCAGAGCTGTGAGTGGCTGAGTGAAAAGACATGTGAACCTACCAGCCTTTAGCTGCCCGTGCTGGCCCCAAGGGAGCTCTGCACCTCAGTCCTCACCATGAGGAAGACAGGGCACTGGGGAAGTCACTGGCATCCTCTCTGAACAGGGGCAAATGTGCTAGTCACTCCCCCCAGAGAACAGAGCTCTCCCCGCTCAGCCCTTGCTGGGCCCAGACACCAGTGAGGAGTCACTGACTTCTGGGTCTGGAGGTGTGAGAAGGTGGAGGTGGCTCCTGGCAGGCCACGGTGGTTGCCATCACCCTCTGGCTGCAGGAAATATGTCTCTTTCAGTCTTGCCAAGTTATTAACACCAGGACTTCTAGGGAAGCGGGTCAGGTCACACACAAGGCACTGACTGTGGGGCTCAGGGACCCTGGGGTGGGGGCTAGGCTGCAGTGGGGCCAGTTTGGCGTTCACACTCTAGGTCAGGAGCCTCGATCCCTGGGATGGATCACTCCATCCCAAATCATGTTCTCTTCAGCTAGTAATGGATTCGCTCATTCACTCTTTCAACAACTCATCCGTCTAGGTACTGGGTTCTTTCCTCCCCTCCTTCAATAATGCACCCAGCATCAGTCAGCTCTCCAATCATTTGTTAATCTATTCATTTTGCACTCAATTGTCTGCCCAACCATCATGCATGTATACATCCCCACTCATCTACTCTTGCTTGCATCCAACTGTCTGTACAGTGTTTGATTCATCACCTCACTTGACTGTCCTTCCATCCACCCACTCATCCATCCACTCATCCGTCCATCTGTCCTTCCTTTCTTCCGTCCATATCCAATTATTAATTTAATTATGCTATCTGTGTGTATCTTATTTATTCTTCTAAGGACGCCCATGGACCACCTCTGACCCAGGTGTTGAAAACTCTTCAGTGTGGTGTCCGCCATCCAACTCCTGAGACTCTAAGTGAGGGGATGCTATGTGCTGAGGGCCTACTGGGAGGGCAGGTGTTTTGAGGGCCGACTGGACATTAGGGACAGTGTTGTTCACAGTTTTTTGCACTCCCAGCATCCCTGTGGGGAGAGTTAATATGACTGTTTGACAAAAAAAGAAGCCTCAGGCTTGGGAGGTGAAAAGGTTGCAGTCAGTAGGGGGTGGGGCTGGATTTGAACTCAACTCTGACGGTCAAATGGCTTCTCTCCATGTTGAACCACATTCTCAGTGGCTCCTCCCTCTGGCGTCCACGGTCATTCCCAACCCCAGGGGCAGCCCCATCCCAGGACACCTACAACTGCCCTGTCATCACTTACAGGTTTTCCATCCAGACCCAGTGGCCCCTGGAAAACGAGAAAGAGAGACAGAGAGAGCACAGAGGTTATATCTCTTCTGTGTTTTATGACCCAGAGGCACTGCGTGACGAGAGACCAAAGCCTGCCCTGAGTTCATGGTCTTGGGTACATTTCACACGGACTCTCTGGGTTTGTTGCCCAGAACCCCCTCCTCCGGAAACAGAGCCCATTTCTCCTTCAAAGCCACCTGCCTCCATCACCCCACAGGATTTGGGCATGTGGCCACATTCCCTCTGCCAGGCTGCATGGTTCAGGAATGAGTGTCATGCCTGAGACTCTGAATGGTGGGGCTTTAGCTTCGTGGTGTCTGCAGATGGCCAGTGCCCACTGCACAGAAGCCTCCACTACCTCCCCTTCACCTGTCTTCACACCTGACAAAGCCTTGCTGAGCTCCACCTCCTTGCGGGGGAACAGAGGAATCCAATGGGGGTGCCATGGACTGGGTCTGCCTGGTCTTGACCAGCCTTTGCCCGCGGGGTCTAGCTGTAAACAGTTAGTTTCCCCGGCTGGGTCTCCAGACTGCCCTGGCAGACAGTCATCCGCCAGTTCCCCAGGTGCGGCGACAACAGCTACCTCTTGGCGCCCTTGCTGAAGGGCCTCACTCCAGGAAGGAAATCAGGGCAGTTCTTAAAGCTGGTGCCCTAAGTGCTTCCGGCCACTCGCTTCACATTCAGTCAAGGGTCTGGATGTCAGGGCAATGGCCTGGGGGCAGCTGGGGTCCCAGGAGCAGGGGGAATGGCCCTGGGGTTTCCTGGTGAGGTGCAATTTCAGTCCCCACCATCTGCAGCGCAGCAGGAGCTGCACGAGCTGGCCTGTCTCCTCGGGCCAGCTCCTGCCCATCTTGACCTGGATCTGTATGAAAGGGCTCTTCTCTTCAGCAGTTCACTAAGAGTGGGCCTCGCCCCCATCTACCCACCATCGGCTCCGGCTCTCATAGGGCCATGTCCCTCTGGGCATCTCTACCTGAGACCCCTCACCCTGGCCTGGCCTTCTCAGAGAGGGCCCAGTCCCATCCTGGGTCTCTTCTGGGGCTATCGGTGGCCTCCATACTCTGCCTGAATCGTAACAGAAGCCCTGTGTAAGGCAGGTGTTATCATTCCCATCTTACAGAGGAGGAAGCTGAGGCCCAGTGAGGGGAAGGCATTGCCCTAGGCCAGGCAGCCAGAAGAAGTGGGGACTGGTGCCCAGATGGCAGGGACTTCAATTCTGTGTGGACATAGAAGCCCATACTGCACTCAAGCTCTGGCAGTGGTCTCACCTGGCCTCTGGCCACTCTCTCCTCCTCTTGTCTGCCCTTGTATTCCTCTGTTCAAACCTCCCTTGCTCTATCCCATTGCCCATTGGATCTTGCCTGTCCCTGGACCCCCAGTCACCTTGACCAGAGTGGTTGCCAGGGCAGACTCTGTGCCCAGGCCCTGAGTGTGTCTGTCTGTCCTGCCGACCTGAGCCTAAACATAGTGCACCCTTTGCCCCTCTTTATTCTGCATGGTTTTAAAAAGTCATAATGCAGATGGAAATTAAAAAGAGACAAAGATGCAGCTTAGAACTAAGTAACATTCTTTCCTTTTCAAGAAATAAGAAGGCAAGGATGTAGAGAAAAAGGAAGCCCTGTGTGTTATTGATGGGAGTAAATTGTGTAGCCACTAGGGAAAACAGTATGCAGGTTCCTCAAATAATAAAAAACAGAACCACCTTATGATCTGGCAATTCCACGTCAGGGTATTTATCCAAAAAAAATGAAAACAATAACTCAAAAAGATACCTGCACCTCCATTGCAGCATTTTTCACAATAATGAACAGAGGAACAACCTAAGTGTCCACTGATGGATAAATTGATAAGGAAGATGTGGTACACACACACACACACACACACACACACA